TTATGTATAAATGCATATATGTAAGGTTTTTATACTAATGCTCTGAAACCAAGCTTCTTTTAAAATGAAATATAGCAAGGTAGTTTATGCACATAAATGCTTATTTATTTTTATTATTATAAGCAAATATAATATTTTTTATGATTTCAGTTTTTCACATCTAAAAAGAAAATGTATACTATATTTAAAATTTTCCTGAATGTTCTTTACAAGAAGTTATTACCACATGTTGAAAAATTCGTTTGATGGTACCAGTAGGGATTTCTTAGGGTAAGGTCAATTACTGATCAAATTCATGCCCTAAGGCAGATTTTGGAGAATGCAAGAGAGTACAATATTGGCACCTGCTATCTTTTTATAGACTTTAAAGCTGCGTATGACAGCATCATTCAGCAGAAACTATACCGAGGCAATGGAGGAATTTGAAATACTGACTAATTAATCTAGCAAAAGCTAGAATTAAAAGGGTAAAATGTAGAGTTAAACTTGGTAATGATTCATCTGAAATTTTCTACATTGACAGGTCTATGGCAGGGTGACATCATGTTACTTTTAACCTGTTTTAACCTGTTCATCCTGTTTACTTTTTAACCTGGCTCTTGAGAAGGTTACCAGAGATTCTGGTCTTATGAATACAGGAATCATTTACCATAAAACAATACAAATCTTGGCATTCGCCAACGACATTACTTTTAGCGGGTAGATTCAGAAAGTATGTCGCAGAATCATTCAATCTATTAAAAGCTGAGGTAAGAAAATTAGGCCTAACATAAATGAAGATAAAACAAAATTTTTAGAAATTGCCCATAAATCAACTAATCCGTTGCCACTGACTGTGAATGACTATACTTTTGACAATGTGGCACAATTCAGATATCTTGGAACTACTGTAACTAATAATAATGTTTTATCTATAGAAATTAATAAGAGGCTCCTCATTGCAAATAGATGCTACCGTGGTCTTAAAAATCAATTCAAATCTCGATTTATCTACCGTAATACTAAACGTAGTATATATAAAACCCTGTTACAACGTCCCATCATAATATGTAGATGCAAGTGCTGGGCAATGACTAAAATAACTGAAAGTAAATTACTGATATTTGAATGCAAAATACTAAAAACATTTGGTGCTGTTTGTGAAAATGGTGTTTGGAGATCAATGTATAATCATGAAATCTACCAAAAATTTAGACAGCCTAATACTGTCAAGGTCATAAAAAGGCCGTAGGATTCGATGGTTGGGTCATTCATACAGAACTGAAGACACAAACCCAGTAAAACAACTCACATTTACCAAACTTATGGGAGCTAGAAAGCGAAGAAGGCCACCAATTAGGTGACTTGATGCTGTTCAAGATGATATTAATACCATACATAGGGAAGACTGGAAGAGTATTGCCATGAATAGGTCCAAATGGCATAGACTGATTGAGACGGCCTCGGCCAGCAGTAGGCTGTAGTGCCTCAGAAGAAAATGTGTATTACCTGCTAAATTTTTCAATATGTCTGCAGTTAAAATGTGTTTAAATATCCATATTATTGGAAAAATGATTAGCTACATATAAAATATGCAATGCTAATAGCTGTTATACATATAGTAACAGATACTATGCAAGCAAAGAAAATTCTGAGGAGGTTATTAAATTTTTATGTTAAGAATGCATGAAGATTTTTATTATGTAAAAAAGTAATTGACTAAGTTTCCCCTCCCTCATTGAAGTAATCATAAGAATTATTATATTTAATCTGATATACATGTTTGAGAGTCCTAATTATGCACTTTCAGCAGTACCATAAAATAAATATGCAAAGTTGTTTAATGGGTAAATTTTCTTGTATAAAAATGCATACCCATAGACTCCAACCTTCAGCAAACCTTGTCAGTAGTCAACGCGCGAACGACATTTTTACAACTTTGAAAATGTGCGCGTAGCATATGTTGTAATTAACCATTCATTAATTTTAAATTAATAATTAATTGTAATCAATTTTATTACATTTAAAATCCATATACATATAAAACTGAATAATTAAAAATATACCTTGTAAATTATATGCACATTTAATTAGAAATTTTCTTTTAACTCCTCAAGCATTCACTAATAAAAAGTACTTCAAATCACTACTAATCATAGAAAAATCAGAAGCTATAAATCATATCTTTATTCTGGATATGATTTCTACAGGGAAATAAAATTTAAATAACCAAGAATGATACATATAAGTATTAAACAAAATACGCATAATTTATGAATGCAAAGATTTATATGTAGCATGCTTAGCAAGCTTAAGTTCTGATTTTGAGAATGTTTTTTTTTATAACACAGTTCTTCATTTGCCTGCATATTTTTTTTTCAATCAAAACTGCTTCAAGAGTTTAAGACCTAAAATTGGTCGAAATTCCGTCTGATTTTTTTTTTAACAATAAAAAATTCTTTCGCAAGCTGCATTTGAATGAGGTATTATTAAGACAGCAAGCATTACAGAAGGCAATACTTTGTATTAATACACCCATTCATATTTTTTAATTTGGCAATTCCTCCCCATGCTATATCAATATGCAAATCTACAATTTCTTTCAAATCATCTACTTGATACATGGAAAATTCAATTTACTACTTGATTAAGATATTTTTCATCAATAATGGATGGAAAAAGTATTTCAAGTCAAGAACAGATGAAAATTAAGACTTCAGTTCTCAAGTTGATGTCAGCAACTTCAGCATGTTTTAGAAATGGATTACTTCAGTGGAAATTTTATCAATTATATCTATGAAGCATGCAGTTACAAAAAAAAGCTCGCAGAGAACTTGAAAAATGATTTCACTTCCACTTTCATTTAAACTTGGCATTTTTTAAATATATTCTTTTTTTCCGCACCAATCACTAAATTTTCATTTCTTTTTGTTTACTATACTTCTGAAATGGAATAGATGTTAGAGTAAAATTCTTCACTTTCCTTTAGAAATTACTGATGGTTTTATGAATCTAACAAATAAATTCATTAAAAGTTCAAACAAGTTCTCTTCTCAATATGTATATAAGGAGCTTGTTGTTGCAAATTAATATTTACTGTTAAAAACAAAGGCAAAAGTATTTTTCAAAAATAACAAGTACAATTTGGGGTGGTCGGTTGACTGTAAAATTTTTTTAATGTTTTGCAATCTCTTTCCTTCATTCTCACTGTTATCTGGTTTATCTCCAAAAAAAATTTATCACAGCATCCCACTGTTCCAAAATCCTTGTTATAGATTCTAAAAAAGAGACAACCATCTCGTACTGCAATATTTCAAAATTTTATGAGATTTGCATTCTGTCCCAAAATTTGTTGAGCAACTTTGAAGCTATGCTTCCGTTTCGAATTTTCTCCAAGTAAAAAATATATCTATTATCAACATTTCAATTTCTGAGCCAAATAATTTTTCAGTAGCTTTTTTTTTGCAGCTATATGCAAGAGGTGGCACGGACAACCTCGGGTGATTATAACTTGGTTGATGCATTTTGATAAATGATGCTACACCTTTAAACTTTCCAATCATATTACTAGCATTATCTGAAGAAAATGATAAGCATTTTTTCCATTCTAAACCTTTGTTTTTAAAGTTTTCATTTAACAATTAAAAAATACCTTCTCCTGTATTATTCATGCATTTTAAAATAGAAATCAATTGAAGTAATATCACTCCCTTTTCTTTACTGTAGTATGTTATAACCAATGGGTCAGTTTGTTATCATTGTTATCATTACTTCCATCAGTACTTAGAGAAAATGATGTACTGCACACTGATTTTATAATATCAGCAACAGTATTTTCTGCAAGCGTTTTCACAATAGCAGCAGTTTTGGTATGACCGAGCAGCTAAATTTTTTTTGCTATGGCAGAATCCGGAAACATTGCTTGAAAAGCTTTGGAATGATCCGAAACAGAAAGCGGTTAGATATGTCAATTAAAAAAACGAACAAAATAGCATTCGGCTTTATAGGATCTGTTTCATCATCTTTTATTAAAAATTTGTTATTTCTTTAGATTTTACGGTGCCAAGTTCTATATGCTTTTGAGAAAACACATGCCGTTTACAGTCATTTTTCCGCCATGAGCAAATGAGAAGTCTTTGTTGCATACACTGCAGTGTGCGTGATTCACAGAAATTTCGGACGCTTTAATGCATGGAAATTCTGAAGAATATGAATCTTTAAACTTCTGCTTTGATAATTTGGCTTCCCTCGTTCGAGGCAGCATTATGATAAAAATCTTTCACCTGATTCACAGTTCACAAGGACACACGCTAAGCTCTCGCCGAAACTACACATGCAGCCTCTAAACACGCATCAGCGAGGAACCTGGGAGAGACAATTGGGTGGAACTATGATAAGTCGTTAACGGTTGGAGTTACTGATCTACGATTGGCTAATTCTCAAAACTAGGAATGCACTCAACACGTGATATATGATAACACGAGTATTCAGCCCAATCATCGCTGAAATTAATTGGTTCCGTTTTGCGTACTGGTTCTCCTGCTCGTGTTTCTGTAAAATCCGTAGTTTTTCCACACTTTTCGTAGCTCGTAGTTTTTCATGAATTTCCGTAGAAACTACGGAGAATCCGTAGTAGTTGGAGTCTATGCATACCATGTACAAAGATTTTGTATTTCATGAAAAAGAAATATTTTTTATTCATTGACTTGTTATACCATCATTATCTTCAGTATTTTATTTCATTACACAAAGATTTTCTGAATAGTTAGAATAAGATACGCATATTTTCGGAGTGATACACTAAGGTGAAGCCATACCTTTGAAGGGAGTGGTATTTTTTAAATGAATTTCATTCAGAATTTATTCATTTTTTTGTAATTAAAGGCTATATTAACTTATGTATATAATAAACATTGAAAAATATTTAAATATTAACAGTTGTGATATTTTTATACATTGTATATAAAGGTGTTACAATGAGTATTATTTTAAACCCATGCCATTTTGAATGAAAATCAAAATTACTCCAGTTATATTTTATTGAAGTTCAAGAAATATATAAAACTATTACACTTCCGAAGTTTCTTTGGTCTCTTTTACATTCACATAAAATTTACATATGTAATAGCATCACAAGAATTAGTAAAAGGAGCCAACGTAAGTTATACTTATATCTTCAGAGAAATTTGCTGGACGCGATCGAGGTCTCCAAAACTGCCAGTTGTAATACACTAGAACAAAAAAATGCTATTAGAAATGCAAAGTAAATTTAATTTTGGAAGTTGAGTTCAGGACTTTCTGAAGTCTATATACAATTCATACACAAAAAAGGACATTTTATTGCCTGCTTTAGACAGGATGAGACTGGTACAGCACAATCTTCTATTACATAAAAATTTGCAAATTTCTGTACTTCATGATGTCTAACTGTATTAGTTTTGAAATGAAGCATGCATATTTCACAACCTAGGAAAACAAACTTAATCGAGAAAATAATTTAAGTACTACATGTAAGAAATACAAAATACTGTTGCGATAGTGTGTATTTGTATTATGAATAAAAAATCAGTACTGATTTCTGTAGCAGCATTTTTTAGTATAAAGTCGAAATTTGTGTGGAAAAGGGACAATGGGATTTTCAAGAAAATTACCTCAGTACTTAAAAGATCTACCAACCTCTAACTTCAGACCAATTTGGGAAAAATACACACCTGATTGTGTATATTAAAAAATATATACTATCAATTAAGCAAGTCCAGTTTTTATTTGTATTACTGATTACCGAGAAAGTGAGATAAATTTTCAGCACTTTTATGCGAACACTGGATTGGTATATTATTATCTGCATCTTTTTTAAAACACTGAATCGGGGGCCTATCCACTCAATCAATTGAAATTAAATTTCAGATACTGTTATTTGAAGGTATGCTTGATATTGTGATGGTTTTAAACAACAGAGGTCTCAAGTTTACAATTACAGTGAAAACATTTTAAAGGCAACACCTACTTTTTTTCCTACCCAAATTTATCAGCACATTTAGGAGTACAATTGCGCTGGATCAGTGCATTAGGAGTACAGCTGCATTTACGAGTCCAAATAAACTTTCTTTAAATAGATTTAAAAGTCCATTTTTAGCATCTATAAATTTGTTGTTGCTATCACTATTGGCAACGTCCTTATGTTTTCTACATATTTAAGCTCTAATTGAGAAACTAAATAATTAAACTTAGTTTCTTCAACTTTTATACCCGAAATTTTAAATTGTGCTTCAATTTGAGAAAAAAACCAGATTCCAGGTTTACCAATCCAGAAAGGAGGAATTTTAATGTTTACCTTATTTAGTTCAAGCAATGCGAAACTTTCAGTTTCATTCTGTTTTCGGCAGTTTTTGTGCTCACTGGGTTACCAATTAATAATGACATAGAGAAAAAAAAAGTTCATCAAAATGGAACACTTTTATTACAATAATTACAATTATTTACTCTTTCAGAGGGCTTTAACATACTTTAAATCCATCCATCAACTTATTCTTAAGAACAATTTTTTTTTTTTTTTTTTTTTTTTTAGGGGGGGGGAACTATCACCATAGCATACTCGCCAACCCATTACACTCAAAAATCAGGAGATTTTTTTTATGAAATCAGATTTTACACAATGTTAAAAAGACTTTTTAAAAGATAAAATATAGTTTTTAATAATGAATTAACATAAAAAATAGATTATTTACTTACTTTATTTTTTAGCTATGCTTTTTTACTTACTTTATAGATTTTACTTAACTTATTACATTACTTCAAACAATAAATATAAAAACAAGTTTATGTCTTTCACCTTGGAATAATCTATGCAATTAAAACTTAATTTCATTTCTTAATTTTAGTTCAAACTGATATGGGTATTTATGAAAATAAAAGTAATTCTACTACTTAATTTTATTGGAAAATAAGTGTTTTATTGGGTTTTAATGAAAGTTTTCTCCCACCGCAAATATCGTCTGCACAAACAGTTCACCTTAATGTGTTTAATCTCATTTTCTCAAATGATTTTTGGCATTTGAAAGAAAGAGACTTGCTTTAGAAACTGTGTTGTGAAATTCGTAAAAAAATATCATTAAGTACCGAACTATCATGCTACCATATTAGAACCATCATTTACTTCTAGTGCTGTTACAAAAAGTAAACTGCAGAATGCCACCAAATCATGTGTATAGCTTTAGGTACTAATGTTGTATCATACGACACTGTGAAGGTTTGGTACCGAAAGTTCAAAAACAAGAACTATGACATTCAAGAAGCAGAGTGCTCTGGCCGGCCTACTGATGCTGTCGAGGACTGGTTGCAATAACTCGTGGAAGATTAGTATGCAACCAGTGGAGAGCTTGCTAAGGACTAGACGTTAGTGCCATGTCCATTAGTCACGCTAAGCATCGCATAAACTTGACATACAAGTTCAATCGTTGGGTGCTGCATGAACTGACTCAAGCAGATAAGGACAGACATGTTTAGGCCTGCACTAATCTGCTTGAATATCAACACAGGGACAAAATTCTGGACCAGATTGCCACTTGTGATGAGAAGTGGATTTCAACAACACAGGCCGAAAGGGAGTTGGTCTGCACCCGGTGAGTCTATTGACAGCATAATCGAAAGCACGATTTAACTCATAAAAAGATTATAATTTGTATCTGGTGGGATTGTCGTATTATCCACAAAGAATCTGGAAAAAATAAAACCCTCGACAGTAAGGCGTACAACAACATGCTATATTCCCTGTTGACACTGCTATTAAGAAAAACGATCGAACTGAGTTCCAGCGCAAAAAGGTAATGTTCCATCAAGATAATCCAAGACGACATGTGTCTGCATTCACCGGCTGAAGTCTGTGAGGACTCGAATGGGATCTTTTGACACACCCACCATAGAGGCTCGACATAGCTCCTTAAAACTTCCTTTTTTTCACATAACTGCAGTTACATCTGGCATGTGCTATCCTCCATTCTGTACAAGGACAGCCAAAAAGAGGTTGAACTGTTTTTGGACTAACAGCCACCAAGTTTGTGGGCCATAGACCTTGAAAAACTAACAAACATTGGCAGAAAATCGGAGATTTGGGTGATGATTATATACTACCTACACTAAAGATACTGCTTTCATGTTGTTGTTTTTTAATTTATTAAGAACGTTTTTGGCAGAAACTTTTGTTACAACCATATATTGTTTTACAAGTGAAATATTATTTCATTTTTCAACTGCATAAATTTGCAACTTTAGTTCAAGTTAAAAAAAGAAGTGAAATAAGTATGTTGTTATTTTTCGGTTTGCATGGTAAAATGGCTAAATGTGGTAAGATTAATTTGAAGTTGTGTACTTAGAACGAAAGTTAAAAAAAAAAAAAAAAAAAAAAAAAAGATATAAAAAAATCTGAAATGGTTCAGATTTTAAATTACGTCCAAGGGGCGTTTTTCTAACGTTTTCTGTGTTACCTTTATCTATTAAATATCATGTTCTTTGCACTTAAACCATAAAATTTAGTTCAACAGCAATGTCGCAAAATAAATTTAAAATGAACTTATCTTTAGAATTTCAGATATACAGTTTGATGTGCTGCAGATAAAAAGGTTTCCCAGTTACCACACAGAAACATTTGTTTTATCACGAATACTTGTTATAATATTTATTTTATCAGGACTAGTAAAACTATCATAGTCTAATAATTTTATCCAACATGGAAATATATTGCACAGAGAATGGGGGGGTTACCAGAAAAAATTAAAGTAGTTCTAGAAATAGGCTTTGTGGCAGTGGCGTAGCGAGAGGGGGGCAAGGAGGTGTATGATGCCTCGGGCGCTGCTCTCAGAGGGGCGCCAAATGGTCTCCAAACAAGATTTTCCGGAAAATTTCAGTTTTTATGTTGATCGATTTCTAGGAAATATATTTTTAATTAATAATTATTGTAATTAATGAATTATTTATTTTCTCGATTTGTCTGATAAAACGTGTAATAAAATGTTTGCAGTACATCAACCAAATATCTTCGCATACAAAATCTTCTGATCACTTTATTTCTCTAAAAATAGAGATATAGTTTTATTTTTTTTTTTAAACGTAATGCACGTATAGCTTCCGCTTTTTGTTTTAAAACGATAACACGACATTGTTCCGAATTTCTTAAACATATCCGGATTCCATAATCTGGGAGTGACGTTTTGGGAAACTCCTAAAGCTTCTGCTAGAATGGATTGTGTTTGACTCTCTTGTAAACGACTGATGGCCTTCCTGGCTACCGATTAGTTATCTTACTGAGGCATCGCATATTCACTGCTACAAAGCATTCAAAGCGTGTCAATTGTTTTTAATCTCCTTCTACAAAAGGAATTCTGCACGTCGCTCTTTACTCCTTATCTAAAATGCACAGTTTTCATCGTCACGGACTAAATTTGCACATTCCCAACTTCGTAAACGTTATAATTTTCCTTTATAATCTCTTCTATTTCCTTTTGTTAAAAAGGTTGTTGATTATATGGTTATTTTATACCATAATAATATCCCCTAATTGTTTTGAGCAGGGAATGTGACTGCAAAATCTTACTCCGCAGTAGAAAAGACACTAAATCTAAAACTCTATTACAGATCTACGGAGAACGTTTTTCCAATCCTAAGAGCCGCATTTCAAACATTCCTTACTATTTCATTATCAAATTCTAGCTATGAATGTTCGTTCAGAAAATTAAAATAAATTTTGACATATTTGTAATCAACGATGGGACAAGATCCCCTAAGTCATCTGGCATTTTTAAATGTGGAAAGAGAAAAATTTGAAATGATCGACTAGGATGAAGTAATTGATAAAATTTGCTTCATCCAATGGCAAGAAAAATGTATACATAGTAATTAATTGTATTAATGTATTATTATTATATTATTAATAATATCTACTTATCTATACTATATATTAAACTTTTAATTATTTAAAAATTGTACTTTTTTAAAATCAATTATACAAATATGTAAAATAGATAATACCTTAGATCATCGTATGTCTGATTTTTCCGCCGACACATATATTTCCGAATCCAATGCTAGTGTAGTTAGGTAGTGACTATTCTTAATAATATTGTTACGAAATGTACAGGCGCAGTAAGATGGCTTCCCCGCAAAGCAGTTTAGGGTTGCCATAAAATAGCAAGGAAGGCAGGGTGGCCATGTTTGGACAGAAATCGCCCATTTGGCG